ATGTGACCCCTCTGCTGACAGACAAAGGCAGTGCTATTAGGGAACCGCCTTGGACTTGGGAAGCCTGGTAACTGGTGGGAAGTTATAAGAATGCTCCGTTCTGCCGAATGGCAGCGTTCTATGGCACGCAAGGCCATTCCCCCCTCTCAGTCCCCCCACCCGAATGTAAGTGATGTATTGTGATGAACGGTTGTACTGAAACAGAAATTTCTATTACAATGTAAATTGTAGTTGACAATAAAGAAGTTTTGATTGATTGATCCTGAATGTGGAGAAAATGAAGGAGATCATCTTGGACTTCAGGAAGAACCGTCCTAACCACGCTCCACTGCTCATCAACAGCTCAGCTGTAGAGGTGGTCAGCAGCACCAAATTCCTGGGGGTGCACATCACAGACACCCTCCCCTCTAAACAATGTAAAGACTCACTGGTTAAGAGGGCACAGAAACACTTTTATTTCCTGTGGAGGAGGAAAGCCCACCTACCCCCACCCATCCTCAAAATTGAAAAATCAGTGGCATTCTGCAGCCTGAGCAGTGAATTTCTACATTTCCTTCAGAACTACCACTGGCCTTTTGGTAACATCATTAGCAGATATTTGTTTGTCCGTTCCTTATTCTTTACAACGCTGTTTGTTTACCAGGGTTCTCTGGCAATAAATTACACCCACTTTACAATTACACCCTTTTGTGTTGGTGTTTAAACTACAATCACAATATAATACTTATGTTTTGTTTTTTTTGGAAAAATTATGTTAACATTGTCTAAGCTTTTAATTAACAATAATAAAACATAATACATTTCAAATAAAGTGCCTTTCAAAACATTGAAGAGGAACAGTACAACAAACTTAATCCCCAATAAATAATTTTTAAAACAGGACAGGGCAATCAGAGGAGGTATGCAGATCTGAATATATGCGTTTTTAGGATAATTTGAACAGAGGTAAAATGAGTAATGGTTGGCTCCAATTTGAGTTATTAAAATAAATACAACACAGACTGTTTATAAACAACTCTAATCGACTACAGTGTGATTAATCTATAAACCAACACTGCCAGAACCTTTCTGTAGCATTCAGTTTGACCCAAACAGCCAGAATTAAATATTCCGTTCCTCTCGCCCTGCTGCACAGAAAAAAATAAACATTTTCTTTCCCACGATCCCTTCCCTAAGGAATCACCTCTAGTTACTTCCATGCACGCTTTGATAAAATGATTCAAGGTTTGTTTGTGCGGGAATTTGGCACCTCGTAAAAAAACTAATTTCAGCTCATTATTTGGTTGAATTTACCATAACAGACTCTGTCATGCAGAACGTGATGATTGGGCAAAATGCATGATAACGCCTGGTTTTAATCCAGAGCAGATCTGATCAAAATATTAACTGACCCCAAACTTCCACTCAGAGTTGTTGAGTCATTCAGTTTTACAATGATGTTCTCCCTCAGCATGGCCTGAAAGGTTCAAGAACGTAAAGAGCATTTTGCATCTTCACCTCTCCTGTTAACGTCTGTAATTCACACATGCAGAGAAGCTCATCACTTTGGCGCACTTTGATAGACCAGCCTCTATGTGCCACATATTTTTATTATACAATAATACATGAAATGTATTATTATTTATTAATGCAGGAGGATGGCGGGGAAGAGGGGTAAGCTATGGTAGTTTTCCAGCCAAAACAGGGGCTTGACAGCTACGCCATTTTTGGTAACTTTGATATGAACTCCGATTCGGAGCAAACAAGGCAAAAATCCTGAGGTCAAATGTGGTCTGCAGCGTCTGCACCTCTGTCTTAAACCTGAGTCTAACTGCTTCATAGAATACACTCTAAATAATAGAAATCTAAGGTAATTTTTCTTAAGTGCATTAGTTTCTTCAAATAAGCAGGGAAGTGAGACACTTTTCTAATGGAATAAGACCATTAACATTTAAAATAAGGAAAAAAACAACTGCAGTCTCCTTATTCAAGTGCATAATATCCAATTATCTGATTTTAGGTTAAAAATACTCATTCCATCTGCAGATTGTCTTATTTACCTACTCAAATTAAGGGTAAATGCATTTATTTTAAGAAATCTTCATAATTATTAGATAATTTTTGATGTGTACCACCAGTAATCCAATGTTAACTACTGTTAAAAAAAAACAAAAAAAAAACAGCATAAGTTAAAAAGCAATTTTTAAAAGCTCATTAATAAAATTAATAAGCTAAGTTTAAAAGTAAAATGAAATAAAGTTGCTGTATCAGCATTAAAAAAAACAATGTGTGTTTTTCAGGTTTTTTTATGGAAATACCATATTATAGCAAATGACTGTTTAAGTAATTAGATTGACTTTGATTTTTGCCTTGAAATTCTTTTTTTAAATGTTACAAAGGTGATACAGGGGTATTGTGTTAACATTACTGGATATAAATGTTTTATTATTTTACTTTTGGCTGGTCGAATTATCAATTTTATTGATTTATAAAAAATTTTGTTGATTAAGTTTTAATTTTTGGAAAGTTTCAAGAAAGAAATGGGAGGAGGGGCAGCTATGCCGCGCTCTTTGGCCAGAGGCATCAAGTAACAAAGTACAAATTACTTTATTACTTTACTTAAAGGTATTGTGGAGGATTTTCAAGAAATTTTTAAAAGACCCGCCCTCTCCACTTAAAAGAAAAATTTTGCTGTTCCATTCACGCACACACTCACACCTAAGGAGAATCTAGAGATGCCAATTAACCACAGTCATCTTTTTGGAAGGTGGGAGGAAGCCAGAGTACCTGGAGAGAACCCACGCATGCACAGAGAGAACATGCAAACTCCATGCAGAAAGACCCAGAACCTTTTTGCTGCAAGGCAGCAGTGCTACCCACTGTGCCACTGAGCAGCCCTGACACTCATACATTGTTATAAAACTAAGAAAATGAAATAAAGGACGTTATCATCCAGAATTGTACAAACAGTTTCCTTTAATAGGATAGTGCAGTGCTTAACAATTTTTCCTGCATTACTTTTATGTTTTATATTACTTTTAGTTTTTTCACACCTTAAATTGATACTCTAACCTTAACAAAAGTGTTTTTAAATGGTAGGATTTGATACTTCTTGAGAAATTAACATTAATACTTTGACAACTGTGACTTAGGAACAACAGCGGCAGGGGTGGCAGCTTGCTGCTGCTAGCTAAGAAAGAGAGCTCAGAAGCAAGTGACCTGCCAGGAAACAGCGCTTCTGGTCTGGAAGGCTACATCTGGCCCAGGCTAGCTGGGGGCTTACTGCAGAGGATCCGAGCAGAACAGCAGATCAGATTAGTCAGCTAAGTGGAGAGGGGTCTAAAGGCAGGGTAGAGTGGCTGTGGTGTACCAGCCCACCAAGGTGACAGAGCAGCAAGAGACGGAGACGGTCCAAGGCTAGGCTCTAGAGGCTAGCTGCTGGAGATGGATGGAGGACGGCTGAGGTTCAGAGGATCCTGTGGGCAGAGTGAGCATCAGAGCGGGCTTCAACTGGTCCGTGTCTGTGCTGCAAGTAAACAGCTTTTTAAAAGCCATGTTGCTGCAGTCTGACCATTAGATGTTGCTACAAATTACACATTGTAGCAATAAGGTCACCGCCCAGAGATGATGGAAATCAGCTAGTTTTTGAAAGAAATGTATGCTATGTGTTTTGTATTATGAAACTTAAAATGAAGAAAAGATTGATTTATTGGATTTGTCTGAAAAAAAAACAAACAAAAAAAACAGATAAGGGTTAAATGCCTTGGCCAAACAACTGGCTTCAGACATCGAGCCAGTGGATCAAACCGGTATGGCTTACGACCAATGGCCTCCTCCACAGAACCCCAGAAGCAACCAGTCTTCAGTAAACAAGACATACCACCATTTTGGAGAAGAAATTTAAAAAGTCGTACATAAAGGTTATCAAGGTTATGCTATCGTAGAAGTGACGTTTAATGCTAAAAACCTAAAGCTTTTTTTTATCCGCTAAATAAAGAGCAGTATATCAAGCTATGCTAATTAGCTAGCTAATATTATCCCTCAGTGGAGGATTAAATCAAACACTATTCTGTTAATACTTCAGTAAATTAGTAAAGTATTTAAATGCTTTTTGCTCGCTCCCATTCGTTTGCTTTGGTCTTATACAGATGTTTTCAATTAGCGTTTTTTAAATGGTAAAACGTATGTTTGACTATTCTTTTACTGTTCGAGATGTATGAGTTGTAAAACCAAGGTTATGATGGTCTGTAGACCTGATATCCCCCCCCCCACAGTGACACAGGAAATGATGGCTATGAAAACACATTTTTTTAGATTTTATTTTGTCAATGATTAATACCATGGGAGATAAATTTATCTCATTTCAGTCAATACTTGCCTCAGTAGGAATAAATGTGTTGAATAATAATAATAATAATAATAATAGTTCTGAACTGGAAGGAGAACGACAGGACAAATGCACAGAATGAGGCACTCGTTTCCCCAGCTGGATCTGAACATTCCAACAGAAACAAGTAGAAATTACAAACAAATTTACTCCGGAGGCAATCCAGCAATGAGTCGGTTTTAATAAAGGTTCTGTCCGTGTTTTTATCTGAAAGGATTTAAAATAACATTTACAAGATGCCTAGCAATTCAATCAATTCCTATTAAATGCACAAAGGAAAGAAAGGAACAAGAACTGTTCTGTTTCTTCCCAGCGGTTCGGTGTTTTTCTGTGATCCCGTTTGTCTGATCATAAACATCTTTCCATTGTCCCACCAAATTATCTGTAAACCCATTAATCAAAATGTGAAAACAAGAAAAAGAGAAATAGCTTTTATGTTGTTTTTTTTTGTAAGGGTTCTTCAGTGAACTCTCTGGGTTTAATAAGTGTGCGACATTGTAAAAAGGCGACACCTTTGGATGATGCTGTACAGATGTGTTCACTGTATGCCACACAACCAATGATATGGCAAAGTCAACAGAAAGACTTCTTGCTCTTTCAGACCTTTATTCTTCTTTTTTTTTTTCTTTTTGGAGCCGGAGCAGAGGGATATGGCCGGCACACACGATACCAGTCTACAAGATGAACTTTCCGAAGAAAAATCCAATGAAGATGGCAGCTATGACGACAAGGAGGGAGGGCAGGAAGGCGGCGCTGGTTTCTCGGCCGACAACGCTGGTTGAGTTAGACGTCATGTGGTCTGAGCGGGGAGGCATCTTTCTCATCCTTACTGTATCCTCCTGGGGGAAAAAAAGCACAAAACTCAAACCACCACCATTGCAGCGACCATGCAAACAAGGGTTTAACACTATTTGTAAAGTGACACAGTCAACATTTCCACTTTTTCATTGTAAAAAATTGTAAAAATAATATCTCCAACTTTTCTATCCTCAGTTTTCAAAGAATAACTACAAAAAATGTTGTGCTTTTATTTCAGATATTTATGCAGAGGTCCGTTTTTAAACCAACACACCATAACTTAAAAGTATTGGATTTAATTAAAGAATCCTAAAGGATTTTATTCAGGTTAGGACTTTGGTGGTTTAAATTTAGATGCAAATAAAGGCAGGAGCCTTTCTTCTTTATAAGTCTGAGCATATAAAGATAATGGTGTCCCATGTACCACACAGCCAACATGTACTACTTGCTATAAAAAATAGATAAATGTTGCAGCAGGCTTTTTGCTGACCTGTTTTTCCGTATCATTTCCAGTTTAGGAGGTGACTCCAGTTCCTGGTAATGTAACTGCTGCTCTATTATCTGTCTCATAATGACCATCTACTCTGTGATCAGAGGTAAATCCAGTGTCTTGGAAATTTGCTTAAATATTTCTGCTGACTAATGCTTTGGAAGGTTTAAGCTGCAAGATGCAACAATAAAAAGGTCAGGAAAGGCCTCCACACTCCTGCTTTAAATAGTGCAAGGAGCGTACAAATTCTATAGGCTTTAATGTCACGGTTAATCAGAACTTATGACAGGATCTGCATCTATGCAGCCATTATAAATGTTTTTCTTTTCTAAAGACATTTTAGTTGAGCTGCACATTGTTTCTGTAACATTAAATAGAGTTAAAGCTCTGAAATAATTTATTTTTATCCCAGTTTAATATTAAACCTGGAATGTTAAATAGTATGTTTGGAACTTTTTAGACTGTCGCAGTTTTTAGCATCACCTGATTAAGGACTATGTAATTCTCTTCTAAAGGATCATCACACGCCCAGTAACTAACCATGGCATGTAGCTCTATTATTTTGCATTTCGATTGTGTACTAAAAAGAAATGGTGTGCAACTTTGTCTCTCTTGAAATGTAGAGTTGCCTTTAAAATGGGTTTGGGAAACAAGAAAAACAAGAGCTCCCAAATTCCCATTTTAATCAAAGTCTTCTCAGAGGTTCTAACCTTCAGCTGCCTGTTCTCATCGTTGAGCTTGTTTATCTCCGCCTGCAGCCTCTTGCACTTGTCCTGCAGTTTCTTCATCTCTGTGTCGTCTGCTGCAGCAGCAGGAACCGTTGGCTCAGTCTTCATAGAGTTTATCACTGGGGCTGCTCTTGTCACTTCCACGTCATTCTGGCCAAGAAACAAAGAAGGAAAAGCATGACTGAGGTGAAATCCAGCATGGCCAGACTCGAGCCATTAGATGCAGCGGATATGCCAAAGAAAGGCAGCCTTGTCCGAGTTTCTCAGCACCAGATCAAAGAGACCACAAAGTCATGCTTGATGTGGCTTTGTTTGTGAGACAGCCAAGATGACAACATGGGCAAATAGAGGCCTGCTTTATGGGAGTACAGGAATACAAATATCACACTGTTGATGAAGGTTGGCCTTAAAAACAGACGACAAAGAATGACGTTATTACAACTCGAAACTTTTCTGCTTTTTATCCTCAATAAAGTTGAACTTTGTTTATGGGAAATGATGTACAAGTCAGATTGTCAACAGTCAACCTGGGAAAAAATATTTTTACCCCTTTTTTTGTTTTTGTTGCCTTTAAAAAACACACTGCAGTGTATCCTATTCGATTTAATATGACAGACCAATACCTCAGACAAATTGGATGGAGTTGGTCTGAGCATGTTTTTATTCATTCCACTTATTCCGACTCAAATTTAGGTCTGGACTTTATGAATATGGCTGCATTTAGGCCAGGAGTCTGAAACTTTTAGAGCCAAAAGAGACATCGGTTCCCTGTTCAGAGCCACAAATGTGAAAATAAATACTTATTTTTGTTAAATGTCTAACAGGTTTAAGGGATGATTTTGTTATTGGTGGAAAGCGGTATAAAAAAAATATTTTCAAGCCAATGAAAGGAAAAATAGATGTGAATAAATATTACAGGAGCTTTTAGTGTCATTCTGCTGAGAAACAATCCAGAACACCTTGAACTTCTCCACTACCTTCACCCTGACATGTCTGCTGTGTTTCCTTGTCTCCACGATGCTGTTAATGTTCTCCTTCAAATCTCAGGGGCTGAATTTACTGGGATAAAACTCCCACACAGAATAAATCTGAATTCTGAAGGGACTGGGTTTCATTGAATTGTATTTAGCAACATTAGAATAAGGGGGGCCATATTTACACATCACATATTTTATTTCTGCTTTGAAAAAATGGGCATGTTTTGTTTTTCAACGTTTCAAAAATATGCGACACTAGCATTTATATTTCACCCAAAAATGTCTGCTTGTTGATTGTAAAGTATGAAAAAAACATTTGTGGGGTGTTAAAACTTGCAAATCACTTAAATGGATGTAAACAAGCCCAACTACCTGCCATCATTTCATTGTTCATTTCTCTCATTTTTTTTTTTTCTCTCCTTTGTTCAAATGGATAATCAGTTTATCGGCACAGACAACTTGTCCGGCTGGTGTTGTTTCTGATCATCTCTGCCAAGATATTAAAGGGTTAGATTGCAGTGTGTGACATATGGTATAGCCACGTGAATAATTTTTGTTTTGATAATCTTCTTGCCAAAAAAGATTTTTACCATCCAAAACTAGAGGGTCAGAGCAGCAAATTATAAACATTTTCTTAAGGGTTTTGCACTTTTTTTTCTACAATAATCTGCTCTATTAGAAAAGCAAACAGCCTAAAGGAACTTGAAAGACAAAAACCGAGTCAAAGAAGGTTATACAATGTCTTTCTTCATGCAGGACTGGCTCCTCTTACCACTTCGTTCTCAGAAGGCATCTCAAAGACACATCTCAGCTTGGAATCCATGAGATCGTCGGGTTTTGCGTCTTTCCACTAACAGATAAAAAATGCACATGTCATTAATTAAGTCAAATTGCATCCAGATGAATTTTCTCCACAAACAAAACCATAAGCACAAGGAAACATACATCCAAGTCAGCATATCTTTTTTCTCTGCACAGTATATTCAAGTCTAAAAGGCTGATAAAAACTCAAAATAAAATAGATTAGTAGCATTGTCCCAACTTTCAGTTTATTCTGTTCACAGTTATTGCATCATTTTATGAATGAATTTTACAGTGAAATTCAGCAGTTAGGAAACATCTGAAACAAAAAATGAAACAATGAAGTAGAGGTTTCAGCGTTTGCTGTCCCCTGCTGGACAAATGGGGTCTTCCATTATGTTTTGCAGGTTTCATACAGAAAAGGTAACTAGAAAATGTCAGAATGGGCCAAAGAAATAACATACAGAATTCTAATATTTCTGATAAAAACAACATAAATACATGCCAACTTTACCTTATGGGCTCTGTTTTTCCACAGTTTTAATCATAAGATGCACAAACTGCTTGTTTTGCAGGCAACTGTGTTCCAAAAGTTGTGATTTAACCCTTTGGTGTGAACAATTTCCAATTGGCTATATAGAGACTCCCAATAATGCATTACTCATACTGCACATAGTAATAATATACCATCATATATTATCTTTAGCTAAAACAGTCATAGGTCACACTAAATGATAGGTTTTCGACTTGTTTTTGCTGCTTGAGGGCCTGAGAGGAAATTCAACCTCCCTTTGCAGTCCTTATTTCTTCCTCCTTCTATAAAGTCTTGTATGCACACCTACATACAAGAATTGTACCTAAAGGGCCTTTCAATGCAAAGTGGAAAATCTGTTACAGTGAGTTTAATTTCCAATTTAAAGCATTGTAGAATATATTTATATATACAGTCAAGTACTTTTAGTGCAGTTAAAAATGCTTGCAGTCAATATTTAGGTCCTTTGATCTTGTTTTGGCAAATCAAATGCATATGCTGCTGGGATTGTCCTGGCTTTCTAAATAATGGGATTTCGATTGTGCTAAAAACATAAAATAAATAATATTAGCCTAAATAAAGGGGGAGAAATCTTTTTTTAGGGAAATGTATTAATTTCATAGAAAATGACTAAATTATAAGAAATGTAAAACTGCTTACAGTAAAAGATGAGTTTTACAAACAGGGAATAGATTAACCAAAGTCATGCAAATAAGCAGCTTCCTCATCATTAGCATGCCATCAGATATGCCTGCATCAATAGTCCAGATTGTGGTTAAACACCCATCTTTCAGTTTGCCACATACAAGAAACATTGTATTAAAAAAAAAAAAAAATAAAACAACCAAATACTTACCAGGGAGTCATTGTCAGAATTGTTCGATGGGGCGAAAATCGTCTGCACCATAAATTTGTGTTTACTTTTCTCGTTGGGGTCATAGTCAAAGGGTTGTAGCATAACTGGGAACAAAAAGGAAGGAGACTTTAAAAGCAGAATTTTGCGATAAATGCCTCAACCTAAAAGAATCCAAAGCATTATAATACTAGGAATTATCATTTTCACTTATATGTCATGCAAGAAAAACACAAAAGTAAATGAATGAGTGGCCTTGTTTGAGTTGGTTTAGCTTTAAGCATCTACATACTGCGGTGTAGTATTTCGTTGGCACACAGTGCCACTGTAGATCATTTACATACAGACTGCAGGTGCTGATCTTGTACTCCATCGTATTGAACTGCTAACTTTACAGGAGCCGGTCCACCTGTTGCACAACAACTTGCTCTCATGTGGGTGAGGAGAGCCTGGTGTTGGCTGCTTCTCAAGCGGTAGAACATTTCTAAGTTCAGTGCAACCACCTTTATTATGGTTATGTTTATCAAATATAAAATACAGTTCAACAAAAGGGCAAAGCAACAATGTCCAAACCAGTTAGCTACCTGTATTTACTAATTCTTAATAATACCCATGTTCCCTGATTATTGTGCAAATGGATAACCAAGTAATTACAGCCATCTGTACAACCCTGCAGCAGTGTGTCGCAGTGAGCTTGACGCAGAAATTTTTTATTCATGCCCAGTATTGAAGCGTGGTCTGCGCTATCTGCTGTGGGTCTAGGCGGTGAGGAAATGGGGGCGAGTTTGTCCGACAACGGGGGGACATGACGGCGAAAAATAGCGGAGATCCAGGTGGGAAAAGGCTCCCATCATTCTCGCACACCTCGCTTTTCTAGCGGGTCAAACTTCACAAGTTGTTTTTTCGCAATTGTGGGCATAAACACAAAACAAGCCGGCCTCTTGTCTGCGGCACTGTCTGCGCTCACCTACAATTCGGGAGAGGTGCAGCAGAGTGTCTGGGGAGGGGGCGGGGACATTAATTTGTTCACTGTGACACCTAGGCAGACGACCTAGTTTCGAAGTATAAATCAGCCTTAAGTTTGCTAAGAAAGGTGATGTTTTATAATGAGCTTGGTTCTCCTCAAGGTTTCCACCTCTAAAAACAAGGTGGTTTCTTTCCACTTTACCACATGATTGCTCACAATATATTGCTGCAAAGTCAATAATACTATGGGCTTTTCATGAATAACTAATCGCATAAAACGTCTGATAAAATATTAAGGTCTGCATAAAGTAGGAATAAGCTAGACTGTTTTGGATTTAATCTGAATCAAGTGTCTATCTCCTTAACTCAATATGAATAGAAAATAAATCCCTTTTAATGTCTTAGTATGGGGTAATTCAAAACACTGGAGTTATTAAAAAAATGCACACCCAGTTTAAATTAGGTCCACATTTCTTTTAAAACAAGAAAATGAGGAATAGTTTAAGTACTAGTTTAAGTAGATCAGGACTGATTGGTAAGGCTCTGTTCTAGATCATTACCTTCCTTTATCCAAAACTACCATTTTAAATCAACCAAAATCAAGCTTCAACTTATCTAAAAGCCTTACCAGAGATGTTGACAGCTGCTCCTGGATCAATGACACCACTGTTTGGCCGTACGCAGTACCTGCGAGGTGCTGTCGTCTTCACTTTGAAACATACTCTTCTGTCAGAAGGATTCTTCAGTTTGAGGTTGGCGGTGACTACATCTGTGAAAGGACCTGAAAGACACAACAACAAAAAAAGAATCCTCATTAGTTTTATATCCCAGGCAAAAAACAAATCTCAGATCTGCAGACGAATGAAATTGCAAAATATGCATAGTTTCCTATAAAAATCAGCTGAAGAGATAACATTCTCTCCTTAGCGGGGAGAACATTTGAACAAACGCAACCCAACTGTAAGAACAAAGGGCCTGCAGTGTTCGGCTGCCAAGGTTCAAAAGGGACTTTAAAAAGATTAGCGGGGAAAAACAGAGAAAAGCAACTCAATTAGACTGAGACAATTAAAAGGCTTATTGAATAGCGGGAGGGTTAACTTGAAGCTAGACTGCAGCATCTAGCATTAGGGTATAAAAAAAAGAGAAAGTAAGCAAATAAATCATCTTCTTTCCTCACTTAAATTTTTTCATTTTGCAATAGAAGCATCTTAAACTCTGATGGTGCAAAAAAAAAAAAAATCTCTTCATTTTTAAATCAATTTCTACATTTTGTTCAATGTATTCAAACCTCTTGGAAACCTTTTTTGTTACCATTTTTCCACATGATAAATAAACTATTATTTTGGTTTGACTAATGTCAAAACAATAATATTTCAGTTCTTGTTTAAAAAAACCCTGCATCATTGATCTCTTGTATGCAGTACCTAGTGTAGGTCCTTAGAATAAAATCCATGCCATGTATGTATGTATAAGTTATAGGTAATTATTCAGAACACAGCAACAACTTCTTCCTGCATACGTCTCTCCTGTAAATTAGACCCAACAAACCACCTGAATCAATTAGAACCCCCTTACAGATAATTTCATATAGACGTCCCATGACGATATTGGAAATGGGAATGGTTCCCCTGTCGGGTCTTTTATCAGGGGATCAGTGGTCATGCAACAGATCTCCATCTTGTGACAGCACTGGCTTCAAATTAGGTCCTTAACCAGGGTCAGCACAAGCAACTTTGATCATCAATGTCATGTCAAAAACACAAGTGGCTGCCAAGTCAGAGGTTCCACAAACTCAATCTGGGCCAATTAGCTTGGGAGCCTGTACAGTAAGCATGTCTCATGACAGCTATCTGACGGCATGCTAACTGTCAAGAATTGCTTTTGAATATACATGGCCAAACATCTTTAAAATGTACAAAATGTGCACTTGCATAGTCTCATCCGACCCTTTGACCTAAGGCCCTAATGATATGGCCTAAACTTTTATCTGTATACATTTCTTTGTATCGGTTGATGCAATATTATTTTAATATCGATATAATGAATACAAAAGCCTCAAAAAATACCGTCAGGAAAACGTCCCAACAGGTGCCTGTACAAATTAATTTCAATTATTTTGTCACATCTATGAAATTGAATCTGAGTCTACCCGTGAGCACAGCCTACTGCTGCAGCCACAGGCTTGTGTCTGTGCCGACCGCCATTGCTCATCTAGCCTACCACTGTAATCATTGGCCTGTGTCGGAAACGTCTACCCTGACCCACCAATCACCACATAGATCTGGACTATATAGTGGATTTTATAATGAACTGATTGTTTGGACAGATAAATACTTTTTGCTCCTTGTGACTGTGACCAGACATTCAAAGTCATATAAAAGGGCGTAAACACTATAAAGTGCTCTATATAGGGTTCAGGGAGGATAACAGGACGAAGCCACAGACTGCAACTTATATTGAAATACCGATAATCCATTAAAAAGTCATATCACTGTTTGTGAATAAAATCATATTGAGATATACACTGAGAAATTATTGTCCAGCCCTTCTTTGACCTCTAAACAAAATCTTGTTTAGATTTTTGGTACCTGAATTATCCCTATATTGAATATAGTATTGCTTAACCTTTGATAACAAAGCAGCATTATTTATGACTACTATTGTCGATATGTTTCAGTAAACGGACATGTTCTTGCAGATAATAATGGTTTGCTGCACTGTTGTACAGCCTATCAATGTGACAAAGTATATGGAAGGCTTAAAAGTTTGATCAGTGTGATTTTTGTGAAATCATGCGTTTCATTGAAACAGTTAATGCCCTTTTATAGACTCGATGATGTTTGATGAAGTTTGATACCCCTTATCCAGGGTATTTAACATTACAGTCAGTGTGAGCAGCAACCAGCTGCAGATGGACTGCTGTGTGTTCTGGACCAGGCTTTAGCTAGCAATGCATAGGGGCATACATTATACGCCCCTTTACTAAAAATGTTAGTAATTGTACACCCTGTTTTTGGGATGTACAGCTTTGGTACGCCCTAATATTCCCCCGGAAATTTCTCTCAAATGTAAACAATTTGCCAATCGGGTATTATGCCCCTTCTAGTCTCTTGGGCTCTCGCTCTAAACTCAAATCTAAAAAAATCGCGGGAGTCACATCTTATTGGTCATATTCCGCAGTGATGGGCCCCATTCATTGGTGGAATATCTTATGCCCCTACAGAAAACTTCATTTGCAGGAACAAGCAGGCTGCGCTGTTTACAAGCAGGTAACCTTGAAACATTAAAAAGTTTACAAAAACTAATCGAATGCCTGATAACTATAGGATTATTTTGGAGAATTTTTTTGTTCTCTGGGACAATACCGTCTGTGGAATCGGGGAAAAAACAACAGCTAACGTAAATGACAATTGGGGAGGGGGACGCGATCGGTACTAAATCTGAAGCAAATGTCTAACAGATGCCGCAATATTTTTTCATGGTTTTTTGAGATAATTGGAGTCTTATTTCCAAAAGATCAATAAGTGGATGTCGTTTGTGGATAAACGCTGGCTTATTTTGCCCTTTGGACATTTAAAATAGTCCGTTTCTTGAACTGAACAGAACTATTTTGGAGAGAACTTTTATTATAACACTAACTTTTACATGCTATTCTAACGCTAATGTAATACATCTTCAAAAAAACAAAAAAAATAATAACTATACATTGAGTAGTTTTCCCAATAGTGCTAACTTAGTTCTTTTTTTAGCCTAAAAAGAATTTGCACATCAGAATCAGTAGACATAGACATCATTGTGCATCATACAGGGTTCTCAGCAGGATTTTTTAACCCATATATTTTTCCCTATTATCCTCTTTGCTTATTAAGCCCACTACATCTTCTTTGATCCTCTCTCCATTGTCAAGGCACTGTTCATATTTCCTGTTAATATCCAAACTATCAGAGTGATACAGAGTGGTGCACTGAACCACCTGCAACCACGGTAAAGCAGTTACACACTGAAACTGCAATCGTCAGTTTTATAGATTATTGGCCTCTTTTGTCAAGCACACTGACTACAATAACGGCTATTTCTCTAGCTCTATCTCCCCGATCCCCACAAAAGGTAATGCTACAAGGTATTGAGTTTAGCTTTTGTAACTACCCAATTAGTTTTTTCCCACCATGGTTTGCACACACATTCTCCTATAATGTGATTTCCTTCTAATGTTGTCTCCTGTATTTAAATTGTACCTAATGAAAATTACAGACCTCTATCATCTTTCTAAGTGGGTAAACTTGGACATTCAGTGGCTGACTAAATACAATTTGCCCCAAAGTAAACCATAGACAAATATAAATGACATAAAAAACTTTGCTAAACAAAATTGATAAGGCTACAAACAAATACAGATTATTGTTAAAGGATTTTACAGCCCCAGCTGAAGCTTCAGTATTGTAAGCCTCACTGACTCCACCCAACTAAACCTAAAGTAACATTCATGACTGATTGTTTCTAAAACTGGTGCAGCACAAAAAGCATTCCTTTAAACCTGAAATACCTCATCCTGAGGACAGCTTTAACCTGCACAGCCTGTCCTTCTGAGCTGCCTGTACATTTTTATTATGTAGTGGTAGAAAAGGAAGTCAAAAAGAGCATGAGGGTTTTTTTTCATCACTTGTATTAACTCTGTAAAGCTGCTGTGGTCTTAACTTGTTATTTAACAAGTTGAAAATGTAGTCATAGCAATCTCTTGCCAGTAAAAGAACCCAATCTCAAACAGCCTCCACCAGGTTTTGACAAAACAAGCAGGGGAGGCATTTAACTCGGAAAAATACTGATATCATAAATTTGTTTCAGCTGACAAGTAATTCAACCTTAACTGATGGAGTGAGGAGCTCCACTTTACTCATTACGACAATACTAGACATGGAAAACTACAAAAAAGGGCAAAATATTGGTCTGAATTAAGAAAAACAAACAAAAACAAAGGATGTGTTTCATGAACCTTGAAGAAGAGAGATTGTCATCTCAAGGAATAAAGCCAAAAAAAAAAAAACCCGTTTCCACTCCAGGAACCTTTCCTGTTTTCTGGATCCCTTTTAAAACATTGTTTATCTGGGCACAAACAGATTAACCAGGTAGAACTGTACTCCAAGCATATGATGCTTTTAGGGAAACTTGTGCAGGAATAGAGTATATTATATATATATATATATATATATATATATATATATATATATATATATATATATATATATATATATATATATATATATATATATATATATATATATATATATATATACACACACACACTTGCTTTTTTTAGGGCTACACAATTTCAAGACAATCTAATTGTGATACAATTGTTAAAAGATGTAATTGTGATAGTTTTCAATTAGCCCTCACTTTAGAAAACACAACTCTCTCTTTACCAGTGAACAATGACCTTACCACACCCCAGGAACTTAGGCAACTTAGCCAGTGAGTTTGTAAACCTGTGGACATGAAGTGAAGAGTCCCTTCAACTGGCCGCATAAAAGTATCCTATGTTTATGTTTACAACATTCCACTGGAATAAATTGAACACTAAGGATGTCCCAATACAACTCTTTAATTTCCGATGCAATACCAGATATTGAATGCCGATATTATATAAGCACCAATCATACTAATTTTGAAGTGTGGAATGAAAAAAAGGTTTGGTCAATTGATATTACACAAACAGAACAACAGTCAACAACTGACCCCTTGTTTATTAACCTATGGGTTTTATTAACTTCAGACAGAAGTGGA